TAAAAAAACCAGGGGTAAAATCAATTCATTTTGACACACCACATCAAACCCCAGTTTCACTGAGTATCACCAGTGAGACAGATGCCCAAACTTCACCAAATTACGCTGCAACTTGCTCAGATTTCGGTTTGTGAGCTCTACTCCAGGGTTTTTTTCAGGCATTGCAGCCTGTGGTTTATGCTCAGATGTTTTTCCTCTCCCAGAGGCTGAGCCATGAGATACTTTCCAGGATTCCCAGCTGGTGCAAGATGGAAGCGAAGCAGACACCCCAAGCAAAGGGAAGAGAGCATCTCAACAGCAGCCTTTCCAGTCAGCAGGTTCCCAGACTTGTCCAAACACCAAAGCTTCAAAACATGCAGGCAGAGGGAGATAAAAAGTTCCAAAATAACCGGGGCGGGCTCCAGCTCTTGGAAAGCGCAATTCCCGCTTGGATCCTGCCTCTCCTGTGACCCCTCTCCCCTCCCTGGCTCAAGGGCACATGCACAGCTCACAGCCATTTCTGCTTTTAAAGAGGGGCAGAATTAAATCACAGAATCAATTAGGCTGGAAAAGACCTCTAAGATCATCCAACCTTTGACTGATCACCACTAGGAATCACTAGGAATGCTTAAGCTTAGCCATGCCCTATCCCTGGCAGTGTTCAAGGCCAGGCTGGACAGGGCTTGGAGCAACCTGGGCTAGTGGAAGGTGTCCCTGCCCAGGGCAGGGGGTGGGACTGGATAAGCTTTAAGGTCTCTTAAACTATACCAGGATCATTACAATTATTTTTTAAGTGCAGAGTGGGTATTGCAAAAGGTGTTCCACGATATCCCAGTAAAGAAAAAAAAAAAGGAAAAATACTTCAAAAGGGGCAGGGTGGGGGGAAAATATAAGATCTATTTACTGAGGCCACCTCAACGTGAGGAAGACCTTGTTCCCATGGAGGGTGGCAGAGCGCTGGAACAGTTGCCCAGGGAAGCTGTGGAGTCTCCTCTCTGGAGACATTCCAAACCCACCTGGACATGTTCCTGTGTCACCTGCTCTGGGAGACCCTGCCTGGGCAGGGAGTTGGACTGGATGATCTCCAGAGGTGCCTTCCAACCCCAGCTGTTCTGTGAGTCTGTGATGCTGATTCACTAAAAGCATTTTGTGTGCTCTGGGGCTTGGCAACCTGAGAGCACAAGAACTCAGGGGCTTCTCAAAACCACACATCCAACAGCGAGCCCACTGAGGAAGGGGGGGTTATTTTAGAAAAATATGATTTATTTTTTTTTTTTTTTAAAAACAGGCGAGGCAATCTCTCTCCACCACCTAAATATAATCGTCCTGAAGTACCTCAGTGATTATCTCAAAGTATTAGGCAGGAATGCAGTTCACACGCCACTGCTGACTCACCCCTGTGTGCTAAAGGACACGGCCCTGCCAGCCAGTGACACCCTTTCATGGCACCAGGCTTCCTCTGCTCCCAAGGAAAGCAAGGAACAGCCATGACAAATGCATTCCTACTGCTGGGCAAGATAACTTTATGTCTTTTCAATAGGTGCTCAAGACAGAATATCCTGAGCTGGAAGGGACTCACAAGGAGTGTGAGTGACTCCTGGCCCTGCACAGACACCCCGACAATCCCACCCTGGCCCTGGAAGCGTTGCCCAAACGCTCCTGGAGCTCTGGCAGCCTTGACATGTGGCTTTGAAGCTCTTTTGTTGGTCCAAGCAACCGAAGAAATGCCTTTGGCTTTAAGGAGCACCATAAGATGGAAGAACACGGTGGAAGTGGTGCTGCTGTTTGCACACAGGATCTACATCTCTGAGCAGAAAGAGAAGATTCAACGTTTAATTGGAAAAGCTGCCATGAAACCCAAGTTCTTCCACCCCAAGATTTGCCTCAAGTGGAGGGGATATTCCTGCATGTTTTTATCCCCATGCTGGGGAGTAAAACCCTTCTTCGGGGACAGGGACAGCCCGTGATCGCTGCACAGAGCAGTTCTAGGAGCATCAGGGAACATCATCTTCATGGAATTCTATCACCAGCCACGCTCAACAGTTCACAGACACTCCTTTTCACACCTCACTTAATTTAACATTGATTCCCAAAGCTGAAATTAAGATATTCCCTACCAAGAGGAGATTTCTTACACAGGAGCCTGGAAGCTGGGCTTCCATTCAAAGGGAGAACTCTGAGTCATCATGAAATTGGTAATGATACTGCTAATTTTAGAAATCTGGAAGAACTGATCCTTTAAAACATGCAACAAATTCATTGTCAATTCCAAGCTTTTTTTTTTTAGGGCAGGCAAACAAAAACAGAAAAAGCCTCAGGCCTTGACTGAGGCAGTTCAACACACACAAAACAAAGTCAACCAGAGAGCTGTAACTACCAAATTTTGAACTGGGCTTTCTTAAACAGCATAAAATAAACCCTGCCACAGTTTGCCAAAGTAGGTCTTTCCTAAGACACACGTTTCCCCTGGAATTTAGAGGCTGGACTCTAACAGAGTCCAACAACAAAATCCCAAAACACCATCCTCTGCTCAAGTTCTTACCTCTCACTAACTACTCAACTGCAGCTTTTGCAGGAACCAAGACACTGTGGTGTGCCCAAGGAACCTTAAAATCAAAACATCCAATAATTTGCTAAAGCATCCACAGTGAGAAAGTGTCGATATTGAAACCAGACCAAAGCAAATAATCCATGTGCCACTTCAGAGATGCCTCTGCTCTAATGCTGCTCAGAGATTTAACAAAACAGTGCTCTTTAAAGCCTGAAATCATTCCCACATTGCTGAAGATGACAGTCTTTGCAGTTGCTATGAGAAAAATCCTGGATCATTATGCAAATCAGCAGTTATAATCACTTTCAAAAATAGCTGTCTATATATTCACACTATGCCAAGATCAAATTAAAGAATATGCAGTATACACTTGCAACTTCACATACATGGAGATATAAAAGTAAATTACTCATGTTGGTCCTATAACTGATTCTGCTCACAAATTCAGCCTTTTGCCTAATAATGGAAGGTGGCCAAAAAAACATACCGAAATATTTACCAATTCTTAATTCTTAAACAGCCACAAGAACAGACAGCTGCAGCCTTTCTTGCAATGATCAACATTCTCAATTAGTAAACTACAACGGCATTAGAATTTCTAAGTAATTTTATGAAGTGCTATATTTCAAATATAGGATCCTCACTCCACTCATTATGGTGGTTTTAAAGGGAAAACAAAGAGCAAATGACCTCATCTCCTATTTTATAAGCAGGCCAGAGCATGCAGAGCTTCAGAATTTACACAGAGCTTTACTTTCCAAACCCAACACTGAGGACAGATTTTACATCAAAATGCAAATAAAAAACAACTTTAAAACTCAGAGCCCTTTACAGTCTTATAAATATTTACTGTTTACAAGGGCCTGGAGTGGCAGGACAAGGAGGAATGGCTTCCCACTGCCAGAGGGCAGGGTTAGATGGGATATTGGGAAGGAATTGTTCCCTGTGAGGGTGGGGAGGCCCTGGCACAGGTTGCCCAGAGAAGCTGTGGCTGCCCCTGGATCCCTGGAAGTGTCCAAGGCCAGGTTGGAGCACCCTGGGTTAGTGGAAGGTGTCCCTGCCCATGGCAAGGGGTGGGACTGGATGATCTTTAAGGTCCCTTCCAATCCAAGCCATTCTATCACTCTGAACCAAAGGCTTCAGAAGATCTATCAGGCATTAGACTTCCTCTTCCTTTAGGAAGGAAATTTAAAACAAGCTGAGTGTTCCTGAAGCTGTGACTGATGGCACTGCTCAAATCATGCTCTGGAGCTAAAAAGTTACTGCACAACCTGAACCAGCCCCCTGCCAACAAAACGACAATGAGCCCCTTTCTCCCGACGCTCCGTTTGCACCTTCCCAACACAGATCTCGTGTAACAAAGGAGATTTAAACCCACGGCCTGCAAAAAAAGCCAGGAGTGCTGATTTTCGCCTCCAGCTGGGGCTGGAAGGTGCTCCCAGGAGCCCACTGCTCGCTGTGCTGCCAGTTGGGGGTCAGCCCTGCCCTCCCGGCGCGAGATGGCCGAGCTGTCACCGCCAGGGCCCCGTGACAGCGACACCCGGGAGCAGGGGCACCCGGGGCAGGGGCAGGGGCACCCAGGGGGCACCCGGCAGGGGCACCCGGGGAGCAGAGGGGGAGCAGGGGCCCGGGGACCCGGGGAGCAGGGGCGCCCGGGGAGCAGGGGCACCCGGGGAGCAGGGGCACCCGGGGAGCAGGGGCACAGCCCGGGGAGCAGGGGCACCCGGGGAGCAGGGACAGCCCGGGGCGGGAGTCAGGGGCACCCGGGAAGCAGGGGCACCCGGGAAGCAGGGGCACCCGGGAGCAGGGACACCCGGGAAGCAGGGACGCCCGGGAAGCAGGGGCACCCGGGGAGCAGGGGCACCCGGGAAGCAGGGGCACCCGGGAAGCAGGGGCACCCGGGAGCAGGGACACCCGGGGAGCAGGGACACCCGGGAAGCAGGGGCACCCGGGAGCAGGGACACCCGGGAAGCAGGGACGCCCGGGAAGCAGGGGCACCCGGGGAGCAGGGGCACCCGGGAAGCAGGGGCACCGCCGCCTTTGAAGCCTCCCAAAATCGCTTTGTTCTCTGGATCTGGCCGCAATTTTCAGGAACTCTGACTTCAGGAGCCCGCCAGCCATGAAACAGTGACCTTTAAGTCCAGCTTAAACGAGTCCATCTAGCAACAGCAAGGATTAAAAAAAAAAACCCCTCACACTGTTCTTGCTGTTCAACAGCTTGACAGCCTGAAGCTACGGGGGGGAGTGTTATGAGAAGTGTCCACACTCCATCCTCAAACAGATTTAAGAGCCCTGACAAATGGCCAAGCTCCTATTAGTGCCATTTTCTTGACAGCATCCCTACAACAACAACAAAAAAAAAAAGCAAAAGACACGGGAAAATACACCCAGACCAATCTGGGAAAGTTTCCTAGCAGATATGCTGTTCAAACTGGACCCATGCATAAATTTCTGTTCAACAGGCAGCATTTCCATTGGCCAGCATGAAACACAAAATAAGTTTACTATTTTTCTACGAGCCTGGATCATCAGGAAGTAGAGGGGAAATGAACAGGAAGAAAGTTCTTCAGAGCAAAGGAGGATTCCTTGTAGCCAGCCAGCTGCACTTGCCAACTCTACCATCTGTGCCTTAAAGAACAAGAAAAGGGACCAACTCAGATGTGGCTGAAACATTTTATGATTTAGAAGAAATGCATTTAACCCCTTAATGCTCCATATTTCAACTATGATCTTTCCCCCCCCCCCATTTTTTAGTTTTTTCAGATTTCAGCTTGCAGTTTAAACACAGTAACCTAGACAAGGAACAACAAAACTGCAGTTCCTTCCTATCCAGGAGGCAAACCTGTCCAGATGAAGTCATGGGGCTGACAACACGTCTGGAAGGGAACTCAAATTCCCCCAGTACAAAGAAGGAAATCCAAAGATGCCTGAAGGGGATATTGCCAGGTTGTCTACATCCATAACTCAGTTCTATCCCACAGCAGGGCTTCTAGATCTGCTTACTACATTGATTTGGGATGTATTCCCAGAGCAAGAGCCTCTCCTTCCTCTGTGAGGTGTATGAAATGTGTCCTGGAGCTCTAAGCCACGGGGAGGCTTTGCTGAACAGCTAATGGGGTTACTAAGATTGGGAAAAAAACCCTAAACCTCCCAGCAGAGATACAAGAAGTGCTAAAAGCAGCATGAAAGACGATGGCTGCTCTAGAGAAGAACTTGTTCTGACAAAGGTTGAGAAAAGGATGCCTTAAACTTTCATTTCAAAATGGTCTGGAATCATAAATATAGAAAAGCATGCAGGTAATAAAGGAAACATGAGCTGGTTGTGCAGAGCTGCAAGAAGTGTTTGGACAAACACTCACAGGGACATAGTGGGACTGCTGGGGTGTCCTGTGCGGGGCCAGGAGTTGGACTGGATGATCCCTGGGGGTCCCTTCCAGCTCAGGATATCCTATGACTCTATGAAATCCCTCTAAAATAGCTGATGATATTACAGACAGAAAAAAGCTGTCCTTCCCATTCAAAGAAAACTAAGAGCAAACAGGAACATAACAAATGATGCACCAAACTTTGTACTATTCACACAAAATTTGACAGAAAGGACTCTTCAGCTGAGAAGTCAGAGATTGGGCCTCAACTCCCTAACTCAACCTCAAGTCCAGATCTACAGCAGGGAACAAAACCCTGCAATCCCAAGGGATTCCCAGAGATGGAAACATGGAGAGGGGGCCAGTTAAGAAGGTTCTTTTGTTTCTGCTCCCATTTTGGAACAAGCTGCATCCCATCTCACCCTCCCTACCCTGGCATCCCAACCAGCTGCAGCAACACAGGGAGGCCCAAGAGCAAGAGCTGTGCCAGTGGGGAAGGTCAGTGGTGCAGCTTCACCGGATCACCGAGGTTGGAAAAGACCTCTGGGATCATCCAGTCCAACCTGTGACCCACCACCACCTTGTCAACCAGACCAGACATCTCAGTTTGAGTTTCTGAAGTGCCAGATTTGTCTATTTTAACCCACCAACCAAACTCCACATGAACCCTTTCAAGAAGAAGTTTGAGGTCTCCCTGCTCCGTGTTCCCAGCACGCCACCTCACTTGGCAGGGTCTCCTTTAACGTGCACTGAAGCACATCCTAACCTCAAACACCCCCAGAAAAATACAAGAATTTTATTCAGTAACGAGAAGTCAGCACAGAAGAGTCACTACTTTGATATTTACTGACAGGAAGTGAAAAATGGCTCAGACTCAACTTTTTGCAAGCCTGAAAGAACATCCAAAACTTTCAGAGACAAGGGAATTTCAAAGAGGACAAATGTGGCACACGTTTAAAAAGCTTTCTAAAACAGAAGCTACAAAAACTAGGATTTGTATGGATTTATCAAACCTTCTTTTGAGTCCAAGAGAAGATAATGGCAAGTGGCAAAACAAGACACGAGGCCATCCTAATAAACTGTTCCTCAACCAGCAAGGCCCGAGTAGATAATTTCATTCTGATGAGATCTAGTGTTTCCCTCCTTTAAATGTTAGTATAAAAAAAGGACATTACTTCTGTGACTCACCCACACAAGAAATTAAAGAGCAGAAAATACACAACTCCTTCAATTCTAGCCTGATATACACCCAGGCAATGCAATGAATTAAGCAGAGGCCTCTAAGAAAATTAATCATGCAATTAAAAGCTATTCTACTACCGCTCCACAAAGGCAGAATTAAGTTTATAAAGACGTTTCTTAAGCACTTCACTACCAAAAACTGGATATTAAGCAGTTTTTCTGCACTGCTGCACGCTGGGGCTGTGAAGCTGGGAGTTCATCTTTAAAGGGAACAATGCCAGCTTTTGCAATAGTCATCATCCCAAACACAGAGCAGTTGAGTTTAATTTTTTAGCTGCACAGTCAATTACCATTTGAATCACCGAGCCACTACTTGAGCCCTGTTGCCTAAAAATCGTTATTAAGATAACCCAGATTTATGCAGCATGATACAGGGCCTAATTGCAAGATTATTTACTTCCATTCTACAGAAGTGCTGCTGTATTTTTCCTTCTTTCAGGGCCTCGCAGGCGAGACGGCGACCGAGGCAGATGACGGCAGGAGCAAAGAGGATGCTGGCTCGAATTAGAAACTGGAACGAGGATTTGTTTACATCTGAAATATCAACCTGGGCCCAAGACACGCTCAAAAACCAACAGAACCCAAAGCAGAGACAACCACCCACAAAGCAGCCGTGTTTCAGGAAAGATCCTGCTCTACAGGAATTCGTTTTCCAATAAATTCCCTTCTTCCAGCCCAGGAATCAGCCTTCCAGTAACTCATGGGATGTGCACAGCTCCAATCCCGAAAAACCTGCTCCCCAGTGCCAAGTCAAAGGAGCCCACATCTACCTCAGGGATTAGGATGAGGCACTGGGTATGTCCAGCAATCACTCCAGGCTACATCCCATCTTCCCCCCAAAAAAGCCATGCAATAATTAACCTTGAATATCCCCCCTACACTGGGCACAGTAAATAAATACACATTGCATGCAGCTCCAAGTTGCAGATGACTTAAACCAGAAAGGAGGGGGGCTTTAAAAGGGAGTTAGTTATGAGTAATGACACCAGCTTTGGGCTCTAATGTAATAAAGGGATTTGACAGCTCATCTGCCTATTCCCTCCCTTTTCTCCCACTTTGTCAGAACACAACTATTGTCCTTTAGATCATTACACAAGGACCATTTTCATGTTTAAACCCGTTGCAGGGGAAGTCCCTAGGCTAAGGTACCAGGGGTATAATTTGTCAGCTTATGCAGAATTAATGTGGCAACAACATTAATCCATTAAAAATATAATTTCATTCAAGGAACTGCTCAGAGATTCACAACCAGCAGAAAAAAACTTGGTAGACAGAAACTTTACATGTAATATTTGAACTTTGCAGTTGTTACATCCTGAAGTTTAGTTTTGGCTTTATGCTTTTTAGCATGGGGGAGAGTTAACACAATGTATTAAAGAAACACATTCTTGCAGCAATATTATTACTGAGCAAATTGTATCAACTGCTTGCACAACAAAGAGGATTGAGGTGTACAAAACAACCTACAAGGAGGAAAATACAGCAGAAATTCCAGAATAAGACAATTCTGTCCTCCTCTAGACAGTGTTTTAAGACATTTAACAAATACTCACTGTCTCTACAGCAGTCACTGTGCTTCAGACTATGCTGGTTGTAAAACCAAGGTCCTACAGGAGTGTAGCACTGGATGGCCACTGGAAAACCACAGTTTTGTCCCAAAGAAACCTGCTGATCCCAGCCTAGCAGGCACCAAGAGCCAGCTAATCTTTGGGCACGTATTAAACTGAGCAGTAAGAGCCAGTTGCAGTGTTGCATAAGCCCCACACTCAAGGCTGTATCCTCTCCCTCACCGAGGCACTGCAAGTCAGGTGGAATTATCCCGTGGATGGAAAGGCCTCCCTGACTGGCAGAGATTCCTAGAAAGATGCATTTCCAAAACTCACCACCCTTCAAGACTCCAGTTGACACGTGGCCAACCAACCACCCGCAGAGTAAAGGGGAGGGATTTTCAGGAGTCCCCACCAGAGCCACTGATTAGACCCACAAAGGGAACCTCTCAAGTGCCAACAGCCCATCAGGCTCAGTGCCATGAGGAGGAACCTGGATTTCTCCTTGGAAAGGAAACACTCAAAACCAATACCAGTCCTAGCAAAGCTTGCACTTTGTTCAGCACCACCTTCTTCCTGTTTAATGGCAAAGCTCTGGATGTTCTGAAGGTTTCAAACACTTAACTGAGCTTCCACCCAGATTTCAACAATCAGTCACTTCAGCTGGGGTTTTTCCAAAGGGTCACAAGTGTTCTGCAGTGTCCACATGAGCTGTACTTGTTCCTCTCCCCACCTTGAGAACACACAGCCACCACCTCAGCATGAAACCAAGGAGCACCTTCTGTCAGGGAATTCTTAACCTGGAGTTCAGCCCTGTGCAAACAGCATCCACATGGATTAAAAATTCCTGATGATCCAAGAGGAAGCAGTACATGGGGAAGCCTGCACTTAAACAAGGGCAAAGAGACGAGCTGTAATTTGTGAAGCTTCTTTTAAGCCCCTTTCTGAGCAGCAGCAGCAGCCAAAAAGCAGGGCAGGAAGGGGCCGAGTGACTCTGAATGGGATTGCACAACGGAGCACCTGCTGAAATGGGGGGGTTTGTGGGAAAAAATTCAGCTGTCAAACACCACCAGCCACATGTTCTACAGCAGCATGGCAAAGGGTTTGGGGCTTCTTTGGGTCGTGAGCAACAGCAAATGATCCAGCTCACGTGCAACCCCAGAAGAGAAAAACGCACTAACACACCTCCAGCAATCACCACCTGGGCAATTCCAGACATCCCTCTCCTTGCTAAGAGCAGAAAGAGCCATTTTCCTGGGATCAAACATATCCTACAGCGAGCAGGGAACTGGAACTCCGAGGAGCCCCCAGCCAGCAGGACCATTGTACTGCTGTCTGTGCAAACTGACTTCTTACATGAATTCCCAGCACTCATCTCCCTGTCCAAAACCCAAGATCATCCCGGGCTCCAGAAGCAAAACGAGCTCCAAACACTGCTAAGTAACGTGGTTTACTCCAGAACAAAGAAATACTTTTCCACCAATAAAAGATGTTGCCAGTTGGTCTCTTCTAGTTTCTTCTAAACCCTCACGAAAAACTTGTTACAAAACCTCTGACAAACTTCAATTTTAAAATGAAACCAAGTCCCTCAAACGAATGGCATTTCCAAGCCGGGCTCTATTTTTAAACACGGTATGTACCTCATGCCACTAATTCATTTTTTTTCCCCTGGAAGCTGAGCCATTTTGAGTCAAGTCCCATAATTTAAAATTTCATTAAAAATGCAGAGAGCTTTAGGACTGCAAGCAGCAGAAAGCAGGAGGAGATTGTCAGAAGCTCCCTCTCACAATCTGAGCGTTCTCTGCCTTTCGTTGCACGAGACAAACGACGTGTGAGACGTGTAAACTGCACCCAACATCTCATCTTTACTGAATATTGCTGCAGTTTGTACCACTATGTAGGTCACGAGCTGCACATGCTTCAGTCAAGCCCTGAGCTCAGCCTAGTTGGCCATTTTCACCCCTGACAGAAGGCCTGGAAACACGAGACAGTTTAACCAAAGCCAGAAGCAGCTCCACCGCTTTTTTCCAGCCTCAAATAGTTGAGCCACTTGCTAAACACAGTAAAGCTCTGAAGACACAAGCAATCCAGGCACCGTTTCCTGAAGTGGACATGAACCAAGCTGCACAATTTCAGAAATACCAAACATTACAGTGCCTCAGAAAACAGACCGGTGGCTGCAGCATCAAGAAATGTCACCATCGCAGAAGAAAGCCGCTAATCCCAACTTTCCTTCTCTCCCATCTGCACAAAAAGGCAGCCAGTATTGCAGAAAGCAACTGCAAACCCAAACAAACCCGGAATGAACAGCTGAAATAAAGTATTAAAAAGCTTGTTTAATGTCTCCGCCTTCAAAACCTTTCTTCTTCTAAATTCAAAGTATTTTTTTTCCAAGAGGTGCATTAAAAAGGACTGTTCACGGAGAACATCTGACTAGATGAAAAGTAATGTCAATGTGGATTTTAAGGACACACAGGGCTATTCTCAGACTGTGCACTGATTCTGAGGAGGTGCTACTTCCCTTTGCTGAAATCCTACATTACCCACACAAGAGGAATTCTTAACCAACTCCTCAGGAACTGAGAATCCCAAGCACAACGTCCTGTCCTGTACCTGCACCAGCATCAGTTTTAAAAGGATCTGACGCAGCCCAACCGAGGAAGAGAGGTCCTCAGAGGGAATTCTGGCACTCCAGCACCTGACCCAGCCTGGCTTTGGCACTCAGGTGTTCCTCCAAGGCCTGGGAGAACCAGCCACGACCGAAATGCAAAGACCACAAATCTTTGTCCACCTGGGCCACCAAGACACGGACCCTCCCTCAAAGATGGGTGGGAGGAAAGGGCAGGTCACAGAGACAGGCTGGAGATCAGGCACCTCACCTGCATTCACCATCATTCCTTTGATTTCCACCTCCCAAAGCCCAGGTAATCAATGACCAGCTACTGAGGATTTTGGAGCAACCACCACTGAACCCCTCACACAGAAATATTTACTGCAGGAGGAATTCAGGCCTCCTCTTCCCATATCCCAGGTAAATGCCAAAATCCCTGGGCTCTCCAATTCCTGTCAGCCTTCCCTTCTTCACTCCCTGAACTCACCATGATCTGCACCACCCGGTCCTCCTGCCATGCCTTGCTGAACACCTCGCTTGGCCTTCAAGTTTTCTCTTCCTTCCCCTAATACCACACGGCTGGAGATTTAACTCCCTGCCTACAGGTGTAAAGAACAAATAGGTTATTTTCCAGCTGCCAGGTATGGTGAGAAACAATCCCACCCTGCACAAAGTCATCAAAAAATTCAACTTCCACTTGTGCAGCAATACCAGTCTCCAAGCAAAGCCATGGCACTGTAAAGGCAGAAGTCTTCATTCATTAATTATCTGCTCAAAATGTGCAGCTATAAAAATAAGGATTGAGTATAAGCTTATTCCTAAAATATTTTTGGAAAAAACCCCCACCTTTTCTACACTTTTCATTGCAGAACTGCAGCCAGCTGCTCCTTTAAGAAAAACCAGCCTAAGCCCACTCTAGTGGCCTGTTTATAACACAAAATTCTAAGAATAAAATTAATGAGACAAGGAGAAAAAAAAAAAGTAAGAAAATAAGCAATAAGTTCCATTTGACACATCATTAGCAGCCTTGAGCAGGAATATCAGGGTTCTACATTCACCAGTTTTCTTGCTGGGACCATATGACTAGTTAAAAAGATCAGCTCGGGCCAAGAAAATCTCTCCCTACCACTGGCATATCTGGGCAAAGATACCTGAAATACCAAACTCTTGCAACTGTGAAGCCAAAAGCTCTTGGTTTTGCCACCACTTCACTCTTTTCATAACCCCAGTGGCCAAGTGAAAACGCTTTCAGGCCTAAAATTATATTTATCGCAGACAGAATGCAGGAATTATGTACCAGAGCTGCTGCTTTTTAACCCAGAGCTCAGCAGCCACTTGCTAAAGTCCAGAACCTTTCGGGCTGTTTTAAAGCCACTAAAATTTTAGGCCAAGGCTCAATGGAACAGCAAGAGCTCTGTGCTGGTTCCAGCTGTTATCAGCTTTGATCCTGCCCAAGAGCTGGATTTATTTGGAGAACTTGCTCGGACACGAGCGTAATTACTCCAAAACCCAGTAAGTCTCCCCCTGCTCCTGTTGCAGAACAGAAAGATCTCTCTACAGGGCTAAGTCCGGCCCTGAACACTACTGTCAATATTCATTTTTCCAACTTCTAAGCGAGGTTCTTGCTCCAAAATCCCTCCCACCCAGCACTGATCTTTCTCCAAGGAGCAAGACCATGGCCACAGCAGAGCCCCCACACACCATTAACCCTGCAAGGCACTCCAAGCCAAACATCTGCCTGCCGCTGCTCCAGCACATCTGCTCCAAAGGCCACCAAAACTACACCCTGGGTTTTGCCTCATTAGCCGTAATTGCTCGCTAATTACTTATTCCAGAGTAAGTATTCTATACAATCCTCCTCGACGAGACCCGATGCACCGTGTCTCTGACACATCCTCGTGCGGTCCACCAGGAAATAAACCGTGGGTTTTTTAATCTGGCAGCAGCGATTGCCACCTCTTGCCGTGGGGAGCCTCGCAGCATCCTAAGGAACAGCTCTGCCTCAGCGAAGGGATGGAAATCAGGGCAGAGGACACAGCCTTCGACTCAAGCAACCCGAGGAAAGCCACAGGCCTGCCACGATTATACTCGCAATCCGAGCTGCTAAATTAAAAATAAAAAGAAAAAAAAAAAAAAACAAAAAAAGCGCTGTGGACCCGAGTCACGGCGGGACGGGCACGTTCGCTGCGCCCAGAGCCCAAAAAGCCACCCCGGCCCGAGATAAGCGGCTGCGGGGCCGGGTGGGGGCTGGGGGGGCACGGCCCCCGGGCGGCTCGGAGCGCTGGCGTTAATCCTGGAGCTCCGTTAATCTGCCGGGCCCGGACAAAAGGCGGCCGAGGCGGCGGCGGGGGAGGGCGCGGCGGCCCGGGCGAGCCCCGGCGGAGCGGCCGCGGGGCAGCGCGTTAGGTAACGCCGCGCCGGGGTCTGATGCAATCGCCGGGGACGTGCGGGGGGAAAAAAAGAGCAAGGAGCAAAGGGGGGGGGTGGTGGTGGGAGAGACAGAGAGGAAGAGGATACAGGTCAGGTCCAGGTCGAAGCCATCCTCCTGGTATCGCCTTTTGTTCCTGCTGACGATCTCTTTGATGATGGCGGTCATGTCTGGCAGCCGGGGGCCGCTCCGGGGCAGCGCGCAGGGCCCGGGCGGCGGCCGAGAGGCACCACCGGGCGGCCCCGGGCGCGGATGCTCCGCCGGCTCAGCCCCGGGCGGGCCCGGCTCCTGCCGGCGGCGGCACCGGCCGCTGCTGCCGCCGCTGCCGCTGTTGCCGCTCCCTCCTCCTCCTCCTTCTCCTCCTCCTCCCCCGAGCGCGTCGGGAGCCGCGCCGAGCCCCTGCGGGCGGTGCCGCCGCCGCCGCCGTGTTTGGGGCGAGCGCGGCGGCGGCGGGGGGAGCAGCTCTGCGGCGCTCCGGGCCCCGGCAATGGTGACAGCGGGCGCGGGGCGCGCCCCCCCCCCAGTCCCCACCACCGGAGCCGGCTCCCCGTTTCCCTCCCCCCCCACCCCCCTCCGCGCCCCGGGGGGCTCGGCCGGTCGCTCCTTTCGGCGCCTCTTTTTTTTTTTTTTTTTTCCTCCCCCCCGGGCGGCGGCGGCGGCGGCAGCGGCGGCGGCTCCCTCAGGGCGGCGCGGCCGCGCTCATCCCCCGGCCCGCAGCGCTCGCCGGCGCGGGGCTCCCATCATGGCCGCGGCTTCCGAGAGGGACGGCGGGCGGCGCCGCCACGCCCACCGCGCCGCATCCGCCGAGAGAGAAAAGTAGTCCCCTCCGGGGATCCGCCACCGGAGGACCGGGGGAGCGGAGAGCGGGCCGGGTAAGGGGGAGGAGAGGCTCGCTGCGAGCGCGCCGCCCGTACCCCTCAGCCCGCCGGCGCCCCCCTCGCTCCCGGAGGGAGCGAGGGGGGGGGGCCGGCGGGCGGAGGGATACGGGCGGTGAGGTGAGGCTCGGTGGGTGCGCTGCGGCCCGGCGGGTCACGTGGGCGCTCGCGGCGGCGCCTCCCCCGCGGGCGGAAGTGGCCGTGAGGGGACGGGGCGGCCACGGAGCCCCCTCAGAGCCCCCCGAGCCATCTCGGAGCACCCCCGAGCACACTCGGGGCGTCCCGAAACCCTTCCGAGCTCCCCACCCCCCCAGCTGGCCTTCCGCGCCCCGCCGCCCCCCAGCCAGGCCCGCCCCGCCGAGCAGAGGGGAAGAGCGGTTTCGGTGCGGCCCCGGTGAGGGGGGTGGGTTGAGCCCGGCGGGTTGAGGGGGCTGAGTGTTCTCCGCTGTGGCCCCGCCGGGTTTGGCGAGGAGCGGGGCGGCCGCGGTGAGCGAGCGCCGATCGCCCCCTGCAGCCACCGGGCACGGAGGGAGGGAGAGAGGGGGTTTGGGGCCACCTGCTGCCCTCGGAGTCACACGATCGTTGAGGTGGGAAAAGCCCTCCCAGCACATGGATCCCCCCTGTGCCCGATGCCCACCTTGTCCCCCAGCCCAGAGCACTGAGTGCCACGGCCAGGCCTTCCTTGGACACCTCCAGGGATGGGCACTCCAAACCTCCCTGGGCAGCCCCTGCCAATCAATACCTGACAACCTTTTCCAGCAAGAAATTCCTCCTCGTGTCCTCGGGACAATCCAGGCATGGGCACGGGGACGTGACAGTCCCCCCGGGTCGTGCCGGCTGGCTCAGCCCTCCTGGCTGTGCTGTTTCCATGGAGTTTTCTGTCCCACTCCATCCCCCTTCCCACATGGATGACAATTATCCTGGCAGGGGGAAAGCACTGTCTATAAATCTCTAAATCAGCCTTTAAACCCCTTTTAACCCCAGCCTACAAGGTCCTTCGCAGTCTAAGCTGAGAACTCTTGCAAGTCTGGGAATTACCCATGTTAATGTTCTGCAGGAAAACGACCATCAGGAATCCTGGTGCAGCCTGAGCTTCTGGATATCAACACTGGCTGCAGTCTGGGACCAGTTTCCATCTTTCTCACTGTTTGGTAGGGCTTTTTTTTGGGATCTTTTGTGTGATTTTTTTCCTCTGCTGTGCAGAGAGGTGAGATATCAGGTTCCTGAGGTAATAAAAACTAAAATTTGAAGGCAGTTTGGCATGTAGGACCTCTGCAAAGCATCAGGAATGGGATCTGTTGGAGATCAGCATCTGCCCCAGCTGCTGAGGGATCAGGAGGAAGCTTGGCACGTGATATGTTTGGGAAAATGGGATTACCGGGACAATCCATGTGTAAATTTGCCTCCCTCAAAAACAGTCTTCATGTCATTCCGTTGCTGGGCAGGGATGAGGGATATCCCATGGAAGCCAAGGATAACACGCCTTGGAAGGAAATCTTTAAAGGGTGGTTGGTTGTTTTATAAAAAATCTGCAAAGAAAAAAAACAAGAGGAAAATTGAACCACTTTTTGTACAACCAGAAAAGAGACACCATGGAAAGGAGTGTCCTGAGGGGACGAGGAGAATCCATGTACCCCTTTTTCCATAAAAAGCACATGATGTAAACCAGGTATCTCCCAAAAAAACAGATCTGTAAGTCCACCTCGAATGTTTCTTGGGCTGGCAGGGAAAGGCATCTCACTGAAGACACTTTGTATCTAAATAATGAATGTCAATAATAACCAAAAATTAATAAATAAATAGTTACTTCAGTAACTTGCTCCATCTTTAAACACTTTTAAGAGGTGCTGGGGTCTGGCAGCAGATGCTGGAGCAGGAAAAGGAACAGGGAGAAGGGGGAAAAAAGCTTAGCTTTTCCTTTAAGGGCTCAAAATAAACTGGAACGTAAGGTGGAGGGATTTCCTGGGCTGCTGCAGCCTCCAGCCTTTGCAAATGCTGTATTATATAATTCCTTTCATAAACGTATCAAGTTGCATCTTAAGATCTTTTGCCACCGTTATTCCCACTGGGAAGCCATTCCCAGAACCTTCTGCTGGTTTTCAGGCTAAATATATTTGGGACTGGTCAGTCTCCACTTATTCCTGTGCCAACACGGGCCTTAAATAGCTCCTGCTGTGTGGCACTTTGTGCTCCCACGGGCACACACATCCCCTTGGCCACGGGCAGCTCTGCCCAGCTCCCCTCCAATTCCAGGCTCCCCCTTCCAGTGGCTGCATCCCAGGGCCTCCAGCTTCTCCCAGGAGTTTTCCTACTGCAGTCTCATGGAGTCCAACCATCTCAGCCGCATGTTTCACTGGAAAACCCAAAATGTTTGTTTTTTGTTGGTTTTTTTTTCCCCAAGGCTCCAAACCCAAAGATGATAAAATTGTGGCTGCCCATCCCTGGAAGTGTTCCAGGAGAGGTTGGAGCAACCTGGGCCAGTGGAAGGTGTCCCTGTGGAATGGGATGGGCTTTGAGGCCCCTTCCAATGCCTGAGCAGCCTTTCCAGGAAGAAATTCCTCCTGCTGTCCAACCTGACCCTGCCCTGGCACAGCTCCAGGCCGTTTCCTCTTGTCCTGCCCCTTGTTCCCTGGAAAACACGGACACAAGAGCAGGAGGGTTGAAGGGGAATTGCCAAACCTTTGGGTTAATTACAGGGATTACAGAGATCCTGTTATTTTAACCTTTTCCTGGACGTTTTGCTGTTACTATGTATATATACAGTAAAGTTATTCATATATATTTGTTACATATATAACATATATATATGAAATATATATACTGTATATATAAAACATATGTTATCTCTATATATTATACATATATATGTATAGTATGTGTGTGTATATAATATATAATAATATATAATATATACTATATAGCATATGGTAATATAGAATATATAGTAATACATACAAATTACTCATCTACAATATATTATATAAAATCTATAACTTTTTATATAATCTATATAACTTTCTATATAATCTATATATCTAAATATAGATAGCTTTTTATATAATCTATAAAAATATATATTTACATACTATTATATAATACAAAATATACACTATATAATTTATAGTAATATATAATATATGGTAATATATACAAATTACTTATCTATGATTTCTTATCTATAAAAAATAGATAAATTTCTATATAATATATAAAAATA